AGTCAAACTTGCGGTTTTCGGCCTGATAAAACTTGGTGAATGGATTATTAGGAATCAAATATCGGAGAAATTCCTCACATTCCCAATAGTTTGTTTCCTCGCTCCGCTAGATGGAGTGCTGAATTTATCTCCATAACCTATCATTGCAGTTTCCATTCTAAGGGGGTATGTTCTGTGGTGTCGTGTCAGGAAATACTAGAATGCCCATAATTTATGTAAACAGTGCTTCAAGCGTGTGATTATATTAAGATCTAGAATACAACTTGCGTCCATTTGTAATAATTGACCTGCTTCCCACATATTAAAAGAAAATGAGTGGAAATCAGTCAGGTTTAGTGACAATTCCATTGGAGAACACAAACAAACCGAATGATTATTTTAAAGGTATTTTTGAGAAAGTGAGTACCAATTTTCTTATTTGTTAAGTGTATTTAATATATAGTCTATTAATAAGTCTATTTAATATATAAAATATGCAGAAAGTCTACAATAGAAAAAATATGTATTTAAAATACCTACTATACCTAAATAAGGACTTTAATTAAATAATTACTAAAAGGGACCCTAGTACTAACAATAACTTTTAGAGAAGAGGGAAGGTTCAAAGCTCTTTTACATTCAAGTTAAGTGTTCTAAGAGGTGCTGTCGACTTTAAGCAGATGTATTTGATAATTATCAAGTTCTCTAAGTACTTCTTTGTACCAACGTTTTGCACAATACTTAATCTGAGCGTAGTTTCATCCAGCAAATAGCAAGATACAGTTTAAAAAACATTTATTAAAAATATTTTAACAATCAGACTTTTCACAGCTGATATAAGCAGTACGCATCACCTTCAGTAGTCATCCTAGTTTTCGACTTCTAGTGGGCTAAAGCCAAATCCCAATACCAAATGCTTTTTTAACTAATCTCAATACTTTCTGAATTACATCATTTTTTCTCTGCCGGCAAACTGTCTGAAGCACTGATGAACACTTGTATTCAGCATTTAGCAACAGTTATTACTATCGCAATAGTCAATTCTGCACTAAATTTTCTGGGATTGAAAATGATAAGGCAAAACTAGGGCAAATGTGTAGCCCAGGGCTTCCCAAACTTTTCCGATAACGGAACATTTACTTTATTTTAACACCTAAGAAAGAGGTCACCACATTTTCCATGGGGCCCACATCAGAGCGTAAAAGATGTCAAGCAAAAGTTTTCGCGGAGCACTAGTTCAGATAGCCATTAAATTTCTATATAATTTTTAGATCGTTTTAGACTTATCATTAGAAAATTTACAATTCACAAAAGAAGTACTCTTTTTAATTACATGTTGTTTAAAAACTCGGACAATCAAACACTTAATTCGAAAGCGTATAAAGACAAACTTTCGGACCTCATGTCCTAACCCGGCACTGGGAGTACTTATCACAGAACATTCCGTATGTGGATGTTCGGAGATACTTGCTTCTGACATAATAAATTAAATATTAATGAAATATTATGAATTTTTTTCTAAATATTTATTATTATACAGGGGGATTCAAAATTGGCATCATTCCTCTGGGGGTGTGTAGACAGTATGGGAAACATAGTTAAAAAATTAATGCTTTACAAAAACGAGACGTTTGCAAAAAACTATACCAGGAAGGACGGCAACAATATTCTTCAAAGTAATCTGAAATTAATCTTAATCTAAAAATTGTGTTTAAATTTCTTTTCGAAGACGAGGGAGAAGTGTTTGCATATTGGTTATCAATATGGCAACTAGATGCAATAGATAAATTAATTTGTGCATGAAACAAGAACATATTTTTGGCTGTGTCACAAACAAGCAATCCCAGGCGCGGTTCCGGACCTATTAGTTTCCCCTATTATAATTTTACATGTTTCCAGTATGATAAAGACCACGATGGACTCATCACGGTTAAGGAATTAAGCGATATGATTGAAAGTCGCGAATATGACAAAGATATTCCCGATTATTGCGTTAAAAAAATTCACGATTTACACGACGTAAATCAGGACCGAAAATTGAACTTTGATGAATTTATGTACATGATTCACAATCCTGAATATAGTTACATATTTGGACATTACATTTCTCGGTGAGTATTTAACTTTTTTAATGTTAAATGAATATTTAAAAAGCTTATAATATAGGGACGGTATTTGAAAATATAGATTCAAATTTTCAATGCTTTATATTGTACTGTAACGATTTCCGAGCTTTATTGAAAACAACTGATATTTTAATTGCACTATTTAATCTACTAACTATTTCACTGAGGCACAACTGCTAACTGAACTCTAGGTAAACTTTAATTTACTAACTTGTAAATTAATTTTGCATGAAAATTTGAAATTGGCTTCATTCCTATTGAACGGTAACGGATGCTACTATTTCCTATTGGAAAGTACCGGAGAATGTATAAAAATATGTTTCAGTTTATTACTCGAAAATATTAGCTCTTGAGCTCTCTATCACTTTGAGCGTTGTTGATATGCAATATTTTAAAGTATGTAGTTTAGTGGTCTTTTGGCAAACTATTAGTATAGCTAAACATTACAAGGAGAACAATTCGCAACTTCCTTAAAAATAGGAAAACAATCTATTTAAAAAAATACAATTCTAGAAATTATTCATGAAAAATTACAAAGGCAACCATACATTTAGAAATATTTGTGTGGACCAACATGTCAGCCTTCCATCTTCCATCTTTATTAGTTTATAAATTTTGCTTCAAGATAAATACGACACGAACATCATCATTATCATTATAAATTTGACACGAATGGCGATCACCGACAAGTTAGGGCAAACGTTAAATTAGATTTTGATACCGAAAGGGGTAAACTCATAACGAATAACCCTTGCCCTACTCTAGTCGAACTAAAATAAAATGAGCAGACATACAAACGGGAGTTAGACAAAAAACTCTCGACAGAACCCTGAAATCCCTCAATCGACTGCTTGGCAGAAAATGTTAATAATTACATGCATACAGTCATTAAGAATCTAAACTATCGAACCACTCCTCAAAATTCCAAGCTTAAGTCGACTACATAGAGATTCTCCTGAAAACACCGAAATAAAACAAAACATATTACAAAATTAGACAACACCTAAGAAGTTACAACACCGAAAAGATAAAAAATGTCATATAAAACAACAAAAGCGTGAGGATCCTTAAGCAAACACAACAGAAAAGTAAAATAAGAATCCATCAAATGAAGGATAGAAATGGAAATATTCAACACGAAAAAACTAAGATTATAACAATCATCCAATAATGGCTATAAGGAACTATACTCAGCACCACACAACAATCAAAATGTTGAACAAAGCCTGCATATACAGTAAAAGTTCCGAAGTTCACTCTCACAGCTTAAATCTGGAAGAGCTCCTGGGGAGAACGGAATTACAACGGAAATGTTGAGGCTAGAGGGAGAAAATGCGGTAAAAGCAGTTCAGTCTTCTTTAAACAGATGCGTTGAGACAAGTCAAATCCCCAAATCGTGGAATAACGCGCAGGTTGTCATACTCTACAAAAAGGGCGACAAAAATTCAATAGAGAATTATAGTCTCATTAGCTTGCTCCCGCATTGGTATAAGCTTTGTGCAAAAATCATATCAAACAGGCTAACATCAAAAATCGACTCATATCAGCTAGAAGAACAGGCAGGTTTCCGGAAGGGATCACAGTTTACCTTCAAACCAACCACACCTTTATGGAAATATGCACTGAATGCAACGTCCATATGGCTTTTATCGACTACAGTAAATCCTTTGATTCCATACACCTAAGCGCATTATTTCGAATAATGGAAAACGCACGGATTGACTCAAGATACATAAATTTGCTGAAAAACATCTACGAGAACGCCAAAATAAATGATACAGCAACTAAAGCTAGCATCGCAGGAGGTAGTACTAAAGATGAACACCGCAAAAACCAAGTTTATGAGTCTAAACGGGGCTAAGTAGGTCTTACTTACCATCGAATGACAAGAAATAGAAAAAGTGGGGAATCGGATCAAGCTTGGGAAAGAGAACAAAAACGCTGAAATTACGAGAAGAGTGAGCATGAATTGGGCGGCATTGGGAGACTCCAGAAATGGTGGATTTACCGGAAAGCAAGGAGAGGATGGCAACACATAGCACAAGACCGTAAAAGACGGAAATTGGAAGGCAATATGGAAGGCCTATGTTCAGGAGTGGACACGTCTAGGCTGCTTATGATGATGAATCTAAAGATGTATAGCAATATGAAACGTGCATAAAATTAACCTTCTTTAGCAAATCTGCATGATTTACCGCGATGATTCAACTACCATTTTTTTTATACTTCAAGCAAATTGATTGATTGTTCTGAGAAAGTGACAGTAGTCGAAGAAAGTGCAAAATTGGAAGGTTTTTCGCAGATTTTCTATGACATGAAACTTTTTAAAGAACGCCATAATAAGTAACAGTTTCATCAAAGGCTACATCTCTATTGCGAAAGGCTACATGTACATTTCTACAACCGTTTTATCTACTTTCTCACATTTTCTTCAGTTCCATCAGTAAAATCGACTTTTTCATTAAATTTTTTAATTTCGTTTTAGGTATATCAACTGGATTATACCTCCAAAGAGAATTCCGCCCTCACATACTGTCACAGATGGAATATATGAAGAGGAATATTCTTGCAACCCTCCAGCCGTTGGCATGATCATTTTATCTCTAGTAGAAATATTATGTTTTTGCATTGACGAGGTCGTCGAGCGGGACTCAACAAAATATGCCACAGGACCTGTAGCAACTGTTTTTATATACGAACCGCACAAGCGGTACGAGATATGGAGATTTTTCACTTATATGTTTGTTCACATTGGGTGAGTTATTCTATATAATTTCGTACGCCTTAGGAAGCGTATTGAATCTATACTATATTTACGAATATTTATTAAATGTATGTACAATTTTCTATTGCATTCTAGAGTTTTTCATCTTCTGGTAAATTTGGCTGTTCAAATATTATTGGGTATACCGCTTGAGATGGTGCATAAGTGGTGGCGAGTGCTAGTTGTCTACTTTGCGGGGGTTTTAGCAGGCTCGCTTGCCACTTCCATTACGGATCCGGACGTAAGGTTGGCTGGTGCTAGTGGAGGAGTTTATTCCTTGATTACAGCTCATGTTGCGTCAATCATTATGGTAAATTTACTTAACATAGGTCCAATAACTTAACACCTACAGAAATATCTCAGTTTTTTATAAAAATATTTTTTTATTATTCCTATAATCCTAAAACACCCCAGATGAATGGCGCCAATTTTTAATCACCCTGTATATACAAAGCTATTCTAAATTGGCATTAATTTAAAATATGGCTTAATAGTAAAGTTGCAAGTGCAACTTCAAGAGCTAATATATACGGTAAATAAACTCTCGATTTTTTTAAAAACATTTTTCGGTTCCTTCCAAGCACGCTCTGGTAATCCCTTAAAAGAAATGATCCCAATTTTGAAAGAGTTTATAAAATATAGTGTCTCTAATCATCCAGTACAAGTGGAATAAGGCAATTCCTTATGTTATTTCATCTCAATTTTTTTTTTAAATGATTTATTTTCGATATAGGTGGTATTAAAGTTTCAAGACACATTTTTTGCATGTACATTTAGGTCAGATTTGGAATATGTAGCAAGGTTGCAACCCTGTAAGATTTGCCTAATTAGTAGTATGGTTGTGAAAACCGAAGTTCTTTTTTTACATTGCTGATAAATTCTAAAATGCAAAATACACATACATTGCGATTAATTGCTTTTAAATGTTTTTTTTTTCAGAATTGGCGAGAGATGTCCTACCCTCTAATTCAACTATTCGTATTCATATTGGTTGCAGTTAGTGATATTGGTACTGCAATATATTACAGATATGTCTTGGATAAAGTACAAAGTATAGGATACGTTGCCCATTTTGCAGGTAAGATTACAATTCAAAGATTTGTAGATCTACTTTTTACAGTAATTTGCATCCAGGATGATTTAAAATTGGTGTTATTCCTGATTGTATTCGTGTTGTCTGGGGGTATTTAGGGAGTACTAAAACAGTGAAATAAAATGATTGTCACTAAAACTGATATTCGTAAAAACGCATAAAAAATTTGACAATATCATATTTTATTGCACCTGCAAATGACAATTCGTATTAACATAGGCAAATTAGAGAATGCTTCAGATAAAACTAAACAGCGAATGAGATTATTTTTCTGATCGAACTAAAATTCGAAATTAATCAGTTTGGAAAATTTCATTGTTATTTAATAATAATTTGATAATTCAAAAATTTTAATTGAACCGCCAAAACTTTGTTACAATTCTCTGCAGTTCAATGCGTAGTCCGTCGTTTTCGAGAAATAGCACCAGCTTAATTACAAGTTCACTCTCAAAGTTGTTTTATTGGCTTATTTTTTTGCGTTTGCCGATGTTGCCACACTTTGGGTGTACATCTTTTTAAATAGCGCAAATGTCATACAATGTATGCAACACCATACAGTGAAAGCAGGTGTTTCAATGTTGGAAGTTGAAACGAACATTTGCGATACGTTTAACTTCTGGTGGGGTATCGGACATTGAATTTTCAACACTCATTGTTTCACTTGTATATGCTGTAAGCAATCGTTCGAATTAGTCGTTTAGTTTCTCTTCTTACCTTTGTTTATTTATACATAAACGGAATTACGTAATCTCAATGAAAAAAGTGATTTGCTGTACAAATAAAATACATTATTTTTCCCAAATTGATGATGTGGTTTTTTGAGCGTATTTCTGTTTTTTAAATTTCCCAAGGCAACACTTCCAGACGAATGACGCAACTGTAGTACTCAGTAGTTACTAACTAATTAAAATTGAAAGATACATTGATATCATTTTGCTTTTTACATTGCACTCTCTGGTTTACTATTTATCTACAGTGCAAATTGAGCTCTGAAAATTATTACTCTCGAAGTTGCTTTAAAAACTGTCTGTTTTTTTCTGCATTGAATGTTGTTGTAGGTGCCGTAGCAGGATTGCTAGTTGGAATTAATGTGTTACGGAATTTGTCAGTATCAAAAACTGAAAAAGTTTTGTGGTGGATATCGCTCACGGCGTTTGTGGCTCTATTGGCGGTATGTATTATTTGGAATCTTTGCTGGAGCAGTTATTTTGCAAATTACCCCTATCAGGCACAAGTTTTACGTAATTACCAACAATTTAACGCGACTCTGAACAATGCTAGTTAATTTCATTTAAATTAATGCTTAATTAACTAACATCATTCATTCAAATATCTGAACGAAAACAATTCACATCGTCTCAATAACAATCAACCTTGTTATTGACGATTGCTGCAATTAAACCTGTTCTCTCATAAATTTAGTGAAGATCTGACATTGCGATTCTGATTTAGTTATTGACAGCTAATTATCAATTATACAATATTATTTTAGTTACAAGCATTATTCTATTAGTTACAATGGTGATGATAAAGCATTCCATATCATCAAATTGTTTGACTATTGACAGTATTATTTCATTTAAAATATGGTAACTAGATTTTCTCCGTCCTCTGTAGAATTTAATCTATTAGGTATTATTTATTAAAATGTCTTTCGTTGTTTGCGATAAGCATATTATTAATTAATTGTTAATACGTACCTGTAAAAATATTCAGGTAATGATTATCTTGACATATTTGTAGCAAAATTATTTACAAAGCACAATAAAAATTGTGATATATTGAGATCTGACTGAATGTGAATCTGACATTATTTTGGATATTTGTTATATAAAACGTATATTCCTAATTAAATAAATTATTTCATATAGATTTTTATTGTTTGTTCTTCTTCAAAATACCATACTCTTTCCGAGAGCTTAGGCGACCTCTCGCGGATACGTGTGCCTGTTGTTGCCTACCAAACGACACTAGTTGAGAGCTTTTCCTGGAGACAGAATACACATGGTAGTTTGTTATTGCTTTCCGCGAGGTGGCCACAGTATAGCGGCATGAAAAATTTTCGCGGTTCATCCAAACCGTGATCTGGGGGATTCAACCGTTACCACCGAAATAAAGAAGGCCGACTGGCTGAATTCTGACGTCACTTAAAGTAGTCCGACCAGGCGAAACGCGTAATGGAGTATAAGA